TTACAGAAATATCAAGCAACTATGATCAAATATGTGTTAACTGATGGTCCCAAGAATACATTTTCACAATGAATAAATGCACAAAAAAATCACCTCCTGAAATAAATTTTCAGAACAACATTTATTGTCTCTGACCACGATCTTCCTTGTTCTAGTATTCTTCCCTCACCCTTGAGTTTCACAGCATCTGTGTTACACACTTAGGACTTTGTGTGACTCAAATAATTTGTTGCTGCTTGTTCAACTATTACAACAGAAATTCCGAATTCCCTAAATTAAGTTCACCTTGCTGGATGTGGTGGCCAGCCCTGAGTCACCCCAACTGTTTGCCTGCTTTTTCTTCAGGAGCCTTGCCATAAGACCTTTGAGGGGAAAAAACAATCTTGGACTTGGATTATTATAGGCTCACATTTCTAACTCTTAAACTCTTCCTAACCTCATAGAGGCCCTACTATCCTGGTATGCTCTTTAAAATTTTTACTCAAGAAATTCTCACTCACCCTTTAAAGGCCTTACTTGTGACTCAAAATACAAAACCTAACTCCACTCCTCACTTATTGTGCAATCTGAGGAATACCAACGAATGTTTCTGAGCCTCAGTTTACATGTCTGTGAATAGGAGTAATCATACCAGTTAGTTGACCTCACAATGCTTTGATGGTAATCAAAAATAAGCACAAAATCTGCAAGGCAGGAGACTAATGTACTTGTCTTAACTCTCCCACTAACTGGATTATAAACTTAACAAATAACTGTGCCATTCTTCTTCCCCTCTTCCTCCTCCCTCCCTTCCTCCCTCTCTGTCTCTTGAGGTACAATGTCCTTACCAGTCAGATGAGTTAAGTAAGCTTGATAAGACGACTTCCAAGTTCATTTCTAGCCTGGACTTCACAAGTTTGTCATTGTAGGTGGTCTACCCAAATTTTTTTCAGACATTTATCAAAGGCTTGCATAAAATACTTATGGGGGAAGGTAAATGTATGAAGGAAAACAGTCCAATGGGGTAGAATCATAGCCATACAAGGACTATATCCAAAGAATGTTGATAATTATATCCACATCTGCCTGCGAGCAGAACTCTAGCAGAAAACCCAATCCCTGGGCTGTTCAATTTTTCAAGAGTCAAAAACATGTCCAAAGATAGTGTTGGTATATTGATAAAAGTTGGCATAGAGCTGATGGCACTGGACTGGCTGGGAGATCTGTATCTAGATTGCCCCAAACTTTGGCAAGGTTTCCACCTTAGAAAACTTAATCTGCCTAGAAATAAGGTGCATTGATGTACACAAGTTCTAAAAATAAATAAATAAATAAATAAATAGCTTCTAATTGAAGATAATTTAGGATACTGGGATACCAGTCTCACCCGTGAACTTGGGCAAATAAATCTAATGAGCCCCAGTAATGCTGGTCCAGCTGGTAAACCCCTCCCTCTGTATATATTCCTTCAACACAGGAGTATTTGATGAGCTCACATCTACGCCATGTGAGAATCCATTATCGAGAGAAGCCAAGGTGAGAGCATGCATAGAAGGGTCCAGCAGAAGCCCTGGGGTTGTGAGAACTGGCTGTCATGGAATGCATCAGGACTAGAGACAACAGGACACAGGGGCCACCAATCCCTCTTCCTATATCATGGCAGCTATCACCCGTGGATCACCACATGCTTTCCCACCAACTCTAGATGCAGTCTACCAGTCAGAGCAACCTCCACCATCCCTCAGAACCGCTACCTGAGATGGACTTTCCATCCCTGGGGCATCTAACACTTGCCATGGAGGCAATTAAATTTACAAGCAACAAAAGGACTCATTTTTTTTAGATCTGATAGCAATCCAGTGACATGTAAGTACTGGGGACTACAATAAAAAAGTATTGGAAAATAGTTATCATACAATTTGTCTCTTTAAGATCGTCCTAAAACAGATAAAAACATGGATGTACATCCAAGGTTGTCTGAAAAGATTTGAGAGGCTCTTAGGCCACCACAGCTCAATTGTGTCCTACTTGATGCTGATGAGGAAAGAATATATCTTTCAGAAAAGTCACTGGCTGTTCATGGAGGCCTGAAAGAGAGAAGGTCTTAGAATTGGGAGGCGGCAGTGTTCATCCCCTCCTGGTTTGGGGCAAGAGAGAAAGAAGAAATGATATAAAAGACTTGGAGTATTTCCAAATCTGTTGGGTAGCCAAGGATCCTGTTACTAGTTGTTCTTAGCTAGGTGTCATTAACTATTTGATTCCTCAACTCCCTTGCTCTGACTTCTTCCTCTTCAAGCTATTTTCTCAGTATGATTAGGCTTCTCACATAGACTAGCTTACTGAAAGTGAATGCTTTGGTCACATAGCCTTTGAATAACCTGGTCCCTTGCATGCATTAATAAATTGTCCATTGGGTGCCAACTCCAGTGTCCTGTGTGTTCATTCAGTCCTCTTCACTGATAAACAGATGTTGGGCCATCCAGGGGGAATCAGATCCACTTGGCTTTCTGGAAGGTGACACCATTGCATCTTTCTGATGTCCCTACCCAGAGTGCCCATATACTGACTATTAACACCTGCCAAGTGGGGACTCACAAGTATTTAAGAATACTTAGGTCAGTGGAGATATTATTTCTTACCACTGAAAACACCTCACATGGTATCATATGTATTGAAATCAAGCACTCTTAGTAAGCATTCATTATGTGACAATCCCTCTGCTAAAAATGGAACGAACTCCTTTGCCTTCACGGTGACTTAGGCTTTAGGAGGTAAGGGATAGATGTAAATCCAAATGACTCAAGAAAAAGAAAAAATAAACACAAATATCAGGAAGTTGTGATTGACCCATTGGATAATGAAATGACCAACTACAAGAACAAACTGGGACAGAAATCAAAGGTCCAATCTGGCTACAGAGGCTGAAGAACATGACTCAATAGAGGCATGATGAATCATGATGATTTGCAGGTTGGAGAGATAAAGTGCTGACAGCTAGCTACTGGTGCCAATCAACTATTCGATGTGAATGAACTTAACCATTTTTTCCCAGAGTTCTCATGGTTATTTACTAAGCACAGAGTATCCTGGTGGTGATAGGGCTGTTGCTGGCAGTGTTGGTAAAACCAACTGCACCCAAGCCAAGAGTTTACAAAGCACTTGCGTATTCATTATCTAATCTTATGCATAATAATGTAAAGCCACCATCACATTGCAAGTGAGAAGAAAAAGGAGGTACAGCTGGACTAGCCTTCTCTCTAACCCCAAGAATCCAGGATACATAAACCTGAAATCTCCCTCTGGGTACAAACTTAGGAAACCTGGAAAATGGGCTGTAATTCTGAAGACTTTTGTCTACTATAGAATTCATGGTTCACAATTATCCAACATTTATTAGTTCCTGGCTGGAGCTACTAATTCTACAATGGCAAAGCTCCTCTTTTAATCACCTATGCTGTCTCTTCCTGGGCCTTTAACAAACCAATCTGAACATTTAAACTGATTCTGAAAGAGTATGTGGCTTTATTTTTTATTTCTCTAAATTCCCTTAAGTAGGCTCATCTCCCCTTTAATTTTAGTATCCAGTACCAAAGACTCATCCTAAGAAATACTTTGGCTTGTAACATACTTAAAATTTCTTATATATAATTTCTACCTTATTCACTTACATGGAATAATAATAACCATCTATTGAGTGCCTAATAGGTACCAGGCAATTTGCATACATTATCTTATTTAATCCACACAAAAGAAGAAATTGTTCTCCCTCTCCCTCTCTCTCTCTTCCTCTCTCCCTTCCTCTCACGTGCACTCCAGCTCTTGCGCTCACTTTTTCTCTCTTTTTCCTTTTTTCAGAATCTAAGGTCTAGAGAATGTAAGTAAATTTCGTAAGATCACATAGCTCTAAGCAGAAGCTCAAAGATTTAAAATCTGCCTGACTTCAGAATAAGGGGGTGCTCTGCCCACCTTCTCTTGGGCAATCCCCGCCCCCACCTCCAGCTTGTTCCTATGGGATGAGCTTATCCTGGAAAAAAAACAGCCAGGAGCAAAAACTGTATTTAAAATTCTGAATTTCAGATGCTGCATTGACCCGGTCCTCTGCTTCCTCCTTCTCCTCCTCCTCCTCCTGTTGTTTAGTCAGAGGCAGATCACAAATTCCTGGGCTTTGAGGATTAGAAGAGAAATACAATTCCCTACCAGGAGGAAGTCAAGGGAACACAATGTTCTCTTTACATGCAAATATCTTAATTACAGCTGGTAAAGAAGATATTTGTATGGAAATTTATGTATTTTTATATGTTATATATTCAGTTTGTCTCTGAAAACAAAAGGCTTTCTGCACTTGAGGGAGGAAAATGGAGCCAGTTATGATACCTCCATCACAGCCCCCCACAGGAATGGAGAGAACAGTAGACTCAACATAGAGGCCTCCTGCAGCCTCCTCCTCTCCTCTCTTGAGAATGGGGCTCCAATATACACATGCCTCAGGTTCTTGGAATTTTCTGGTGGGACATCTTCCCTGTCTCTCCACCCCAATATCAGTGGTCCCCATGGAGACAAGTTGGTAAAGACAGCATCCATCCACTCCTGTATCACCTTCTCTGACAGAAGAGAGCAATGGGATTTTAAAATTGCACAGATGAGACTGAGTTTAGGAGACCACTTGAAAACTGCTCTCAGAAAGAAAATGGTATTATCTGGCAGGGCAAAGGAAGGAAGTATTTTTATTCTGTTGGTTTTCCACCAGTCAAGACATAGCCAGTGAATAATATAACCAGTTGTCTATGAAAATACAAGACTATTTCAGTCACCTAATCATCCCTTAGTTTTCCTGAGTATTATATTGCCTGCTTTATAATATAAATCACATTTATCTGTACTAAGGACATGGGATGAGATAGACTTACCTTGCAGAAGATAGGATTCTGGTTAGACATGATAGCATCCTACTTCTAAACAAGTGTTAAAAATTAGAAAGAAAAAAAATAAGTCTCACTGATAATCCCTTCTTTTTGTTGCAGGCTGAAAATGTAAGGAGGAAACCTGTGGAATCCCAGGAGAAGCTCAGGGAAGGAGTGAGCAAACCATCTGTCTGGGATGATTGTGATGCCATTGTGCCTGGGACCATCACATATGACATTTAAGGCTCCTTTCAGCTTCATGTTTCTTTAAAGTTGGATGAAATGATTTGGCATTTGCTCATCTGTTTTTCACACTCATGGGATACAAAATGGACAGAACGGCCTAAAAGATGCATTCTTAAAAATCCATCCTGACCCACAATTTCACTGTTACATATTTTCAAAGCTGTGATCCAAAACTGCAAGGAAATCTGAGTCCCCAGACTCTGGCCTTCAGTTCACCATTCCAAATTCCATTGATTCTAATGCTTTCCTCTCCATTATCCACTGCTACACCACCACTGCAGCCCCAGTCTCACTGCCTGTAGCTTGGACAACTACAATGGCTCACTTCAACACAAGTTTCTGTGACTGCCCATCAGCTACCCAAATCAAAACAGCTGGTCTTCCAAGGGTGGGTGGATATTTTCTTCCATTCATGTATCTTGAGTTTTGGTCAGTTGAATAACACACCATTCTAGACCACTCTCCATTTGCTTGCTTCTGTGCCTTAGCTCACACTAACCCCTCTGCTTGGAATGACCTACTAGTATTCAATCCACTGACTGCCAATCAACTTCTCAAGGTCTATGTCATTGTTCCATTGTTGAAATTTGTAGCCACCTTTTTATATGATTGCCTTTCCTCTGGCTTACAATAGAGCTACAAATTTTTATCCTGTCTTACTTTTCCTAAGAAATTTTCATTTCCCTGGGAATAGAAATTGTGTTGTTTTCAGACAGACATGGAGTTGAACTGAATCGTGTATGCCACACATGGACCTTGTACCTAGGGAACTTGGTACAAGAGAGGAAATTAACCAGAACAGACAAAGTTCAGCAAATATACAAACTAGATTGCTCATCTTAAAATTATGTAAATGCTCTAACACTGAGGAATCTCAGGGTTGGGAACACATCACCAATCTTCTCTAAAACTCCATTTTCGCATCCAAAAGTGGAAGCCAGCAATCATTGATCACTTACTTCTTTGGGAAGTTCTCAGAAGACACTCTTTCTCTCTAGGAAGAGTACTGAGGAGGTTTCCAAAGGCTGGTGTGAAAGACCAAAGTTTCACTAGGTTGAAAAACGAGTTCTTCTTCTGTTGGGTTGGGAATGAGAATGTACACCATCAACCAGTGAGACACAAAGAGCCAGGAGAATTCGATGGCAATTAAAGGCAGAGTTAGTCATTCATCAATTGATTAGTGCTTTTCTCTGGTTATTATCACTGTCACTATTGTATGTGGACAGAACAGTTGTCCTAAATCTTCACCAGGAAACCTGCTGAAGGGGTCACATTACTCAGTCTCCAGGATAAAAAAGCCTTCCCCGCTCCTGGCCAAAGTGCTTCAAGATCCACACAACTGGGACAGGCATGGGATGGCAGAATAGCCATGGCTCTTTGTTCTTCTCCTGCAGCTAGAGCTGCTCTCTGTTTCTCTCTCTCTCTGCCTGCCTGCATATCTATTTTATAAAGTTCTATTTGAAGATGAGGTTTTAATGCAGTAAAAACAAAAGAATTGCATTGGATAATTCAGCACCTAATTCAACCTTATGAGTTGAAAATCAAGGACACTGATTTAAAGTCAGTGTCACCAAAATCACTAAATGACTGAACTGGGGCCCATTATTTAATGCCTGCTCCAGGAAAAGGAGGAATGGACCCACAAATGCATGTGAAGATGAAAGTTCAGCATATCCTTCAAACTCCCAACTAAGAATCCATGCGGTGGCAGAAAATAATGCTATTAGTGTGGCTAGTACTTGTGAAGAGATAGGGTATCCTCAAGATGATGAAAAAGAAAGACAGGAAGCACCCACTTGATAAATGATAAACTTAGGTCCTAGGGGGGGAAAGTGAATTTATCCCATGTCAATGGTCATATCCAGGAATAAACTGAGGCTTCCTGGCTTCTAGTTCTGCATTGGAGATACCATGGTAGTCACAGTTGCCAAAAGCCCATAAGCAAAGCTTATATTCCCCAGGACTAGTATTCCTAGGCCATTGAGAGGGAAATGTCCCAAATATCTCCTTTACATCATTGTTAGAGTTCATGGCTGACACCTCAACTTTCTAGTCATCATGACTTCTCTAGGTCATCTTCAAATCAGATTGCTGGGATGTCCCATAACAGAAACCACGAGATATGTCTTGGTATTTACTTCTGTCCTTTATGAAATGATTGAGTTTTAGGTAGATATCCAATATTACCACTGCATTGAAAAAAAAAAGTATAAAATGTATGGGGTATAGAGATGGAAGAAAGGATTTATAGAATCTCCATTTCTGAAGAATGTATTTGAAACTTTTGCCCATATAATTCTTTCACCCAGTTGATTGGAGTATGAGAACCCTAAATATCTCAAAAAAAAAAAAGAAGAAGAAGAAGAAGAAGAAGAAGAAGATGGTAGAATAGAAATTAAACTTCACTCACTGAACTACATCCAGGTAATATGGAAAAAGCTTGTTTTAAGACAAGAAGTTGTTCTTTTATTTTATCAGAAATGGAAAAAGGCCTGGGATATGAACAGTTGTGGTCTGGGGTCAAAACAAATAGAAATTGCTTGAGATGACCTTGACTTTACCCTTGAAACCTCTGGCCATTTCTCCCTTTTATCCCGAAGAAACAGAGCCTCCTTTTCACCATTATACACAAGACTTTAGTCCCATAGAAGAAAAAAAAAACCACAGAACTAGACACCATAGAACTAGAATCTAAACTTCAGGTATTCTAGATGAAAGTACTATCTTTGATTTATGCAACATAGACACAAAACTGGCACTGAGACAGAGGTTTCCTAAATACCAGTCCTGTCCCTCAACAGACTTTCACATTCTAAAATGTCTGATATTTTGTAGATAATTAGAGTGCAGATCCACTGGCTTTAATCAAGGAAACAAGGTTGTAATACCTATAATTAGCATAAATCTATCCCACACACCTTCCTCTGTATTCCTTGCCTCTGCAGCTTGGTGCAGCTTAATAGGTCTTAGCATTTAAGTTGTTTTTCTAAATTCACTCAAGAAGTGCATACCATGGCACCCTGTCTGCCTGGAGATCTACTCTGTGGCCATGTCTCCTAATGAACCCATGCACCCGCTACCAAAGTTGAAGAAAAGAACAAAGGTGTGGTTTAGGGCCTGGGAATCTAAGGAGACCCCCCCCCCCCTTCTTTCTTTTAGCTTCCTGGCTAAGCTCTAGCAGAGAAAGTTAACTCCGGCCCTGTCTGCGCCCTGTCTAAAGATGGTTTCCCAAGACTGCACAGTTCTAAAGATTTACTATGAGAATCTGCAGCTACTCGTCACTCACAAAATAAGGGTTTTCAGCAGCTCTGGGCCTTGGTGCTACAGGAGGGTCCTATAGCCCACCTATCCCCATTCCTGCTAACTGAACCATGGAGTCCTGGGGCCTCCAGAAAGTACATCAAGGGTTGTCCTGGGATACCAAGCACTAAAAGAGAGACTGAAATAGGGAGAACCAACCTCTCACCCTACTTCAATCACAGCAGTCCCACTACCCTTAAAATAGGAATTGGTCAAGTGCAATGTGGTAGCTGTGAGTGTATCCTAGGACTGTAAAAAGGACATTAATGGTAAAATTCATAGACTCCAAACAGTATAATTAATAATTTGTGCCACTGACAACTTTTTTTTTTTTTTGACAAATGTACCAATGTACCATGGTTATAGGAAGAGTTGGGAAAATTGGGTGAAAGGTATTCGGGAACTCTATACTATCTTTGCAACTGTTCTGTAAATCTAAAATTACTCCAAAAACCAAAAAAAGGACAATGATTATAAATCTTCCCCATTGTTCTCTATATAAATAAAAACATGGGTAATAAGTTATTAGAATATTTTAAAAGCAACAAAGAAACCATCAGGCCCTGTTCTTGGGGTCTGGCCACTGGATTTCTTCTGAGACTCATCTTCTGAAATTCAGTAAAACTTTTCTTTCCCTGGTATCTGGGTCTACTCAGGAGAGCCTAATGATTGAAACCACAGGAATGAATCTGGCTAAATCCCCTTCAAACAAGGTCAGCAATTATCAAGGTCTGGTATGCCCAGCTGCTGATCCTTTCTAACCCAGTTTAGCTGCGGGAGTGGGTGCTGGGTCTCCCTACCCCTGGCCTCAAAGGAAGGAACTATGATTCTCAGAGTGCTTGGCAGATTCTTGCCCAAGAGGAGATGAATGCAGTTTTGAGCTGCTTAAGATTTCCAATCAGAGGAACATAGATTGGAGTAACAATTGAGCACAGGCAGTTCTCTAGCCTTAATCTTGCCTCTTGGGAAGAACTACTTGTCTAATTGGTCAAGGCTGGGCATGACACCACAACTCCTTCCCCTTCTGAGTGGTGGGTGGAATGGTATATCCTCTTTCCTACAGAGAACAGAAAAAAATCTGCCTCTGGGCTGGGGTTGTGGCTCAAGGGATAGAGCACTCACCTAGCATGCGTGAGACACTGGATTCAATCCTCAGCACCACATAAAAATAAAATAAAGGTATTGTGTCCACCTACAACTAAAAATGTATATTTTTTAAAAAATCTGCCTCTCTAGGAAAAAAGCTGCCATATTCCTGGGCTGCTGTGCTGGACTGCAATGCCTAATCTGGGGACTCAGTGGACAAGCCCACTCTGGCTGCAAGGTGAGTCCTGCATCAGGACAATGGTTCCATCATGATTCAAGTGCACATTATTATCGTAACTTGCTGGCCTTCTCTGCCTCAGTGGGCTCAGAATTCATAATCTGGAGAGGAAAAAGGGGTTCTTACTACTGAGTGGGCCTCCCAAAAACCCCAATAGAGAGCAGGGAGCACAGATGGCACACTGGGATCCTGAAAGTCCCTTGAATTGTGATCAGTTGCTTTTAAAGGTGAAAGCAAACTACAAGTCGTTTTGTAGATCACTGACTCCCTCAGCCCACTAATATCCACTTGACTTCCATCTAAGGACCTCTCCCTAGTTGAGGACAAGCACAGCTAGTCAACATTTAGAGAAGCCCCAGACTCTCAGCTCAGATGATATGGTAATCAGCCATTGTTCTGGATGGTCATAAAACGGAGAGGGGCTTACATCATGTCCTTGGTGCTTGAAGCTCTCTCTGCTTCAGGCCATGTCCTGGATTGCTTTCCTCTGCCATGCCACTCCACCATGAGTTCTGCCTCACCTCAGGTCCAGATCAATGAAGCCGTCCATCTGTGGACTGAGACCTCTGAAACCATGAGCCCCAAGTAAACTTTTCCTCTTCTGTGTTGTTCTTGTCAGGTCCTTTGGTCACAGTGACAAAAGTGCCGACTAAAACAGACAATACTTTTGTCAGGAGGGGAGATGACAGAACCTATGCAGGCCAGGCCCATGGACAACAACCAGAACACATTCCTTCATGGGACTTTCCCCTTCTCTCTGACTAGGCATTCTAGCTGAATGCCTAGGATGACTGAGGACGCCACATAAGGACAAGGGTAGTGTTCCATTAGCCTGAATGGCCATGTGGAGGAGGGCTACTCTCCCCGTGAGCGCACCTGTTCATACTGTGATGTGACCTGAAAATGAGCTTCTATCAGTGTTGGAACCATTATATATTTTTGCATCTATTTGTTACCGCAATTGGCCTACCTTAACTAATACCCTTAGGTAAGCCTTGTTCAGAATGCTCATCTTGGAACTGGGGAAACCATTTTTTTTATTTTAACTCTAATAACAGTAACAGTAATTAATATTTATTGAGCATTTATCATCCTAAGAGCTTTATATGTATTACCTCGTAATCTTTACAGCAAATGCATGAGATAGGGGCTATTAACTTCATTTTACAGTCGGAGGCACAGAAAGGGTAAATAACTTTCCCCAAATCATATAACCAGGAATTATGAAAGCAGAGATTCAAGTCCAGGCAGTGTGGGTCCAATTTTCATCACTGTCATGGGAATACCATGACATCCGTAAAATCAAATACTTTACCAACCAGATTGTCTTGCTCTAAGGTCATTATCCTTCCTTCGGGTGCTGCTGGGGACCGTGGCCTGGAATCTCCAGCTTAGAACCCAGTGCCATGCTCCCAACTCCTAGACCTGCTTCATGGCCCTGATGTCTTTGCCTTGACTTTTGCATACTTCCCTCCTCATCTCCTGGACACTTGGCTTTAGTTTCTGCCAGAACCCTGCTTTTGACCTTATGTCATTATCTCTGACTCAGACCACCACTCACCCGTCTCCTCTGGATATTTGCCCCAGAAAACTGTTTTTACTTCCCTAGACAACACTTGCCAAGATTTTCCCTGCCACCTACTGCAAAATTCCCCAGTATCCTCACCACAGATTTACCTTGACTTGATGGGTATCTGATTGCCTGTCTGGGCTCCTCCTGGTCTGGCTTAATCCACTTCCTGCCTAACTTTGAATTCACATTCTGACCTTATTCACTGACATTTTTATTGGGTGTTTACCAAGGAACTAGGTAGGTACACAGGACAGCAGAGTGAACAGGAAAGCCCACTACCAGAGTAGGATCAGTGCCAATCCTCTCCCATTCCACTCCCCCCGAGATCTCACCAGATCTCAGCACATCATCTCCCAGTCAAAAAAAAAAAAAAAAAAATCTGAAAACATTTCAATTCTGGAATCTCCGCCTCTTCTCCTTCAGGATGCTCAAAACTTTTTTTTTTTTAATTCTAGATTGATCTCCTAGTGTTTAATGAAAGGTATAATGGTACTCAAACCTTGCCCTTATCAAAGCCAGTTTAAGGATAGTCTGGAAGCCCTGAGCCAGGGATCCACAGGAGGAAAAGGCGTCTGTCTTTGGCACCATCTTAAGAAGAGAGAACAAATTGCTCCAGAGCTTTGATGCAGGAATGTTTATTTTCTCCATCTAAATATGTAACAGGAAATTCAACAGTTCACCTTTGTAAATCGTTTGCATACCACTTATGTAGGAGCCAGATGGCGCCTCTTTGTTTTCAGAAATTAAAAATGAAAAAAGGAGAATATAAGGAGGGGCTTATCTCAAGCTCCCCTCCTGCTCCCCTAGGTACACTCTAGAATCCTCGGAGAGCAGGAGAGCACAAAAAGATGCACACACAAACACACACATGTCTGAATTACCTGTTTATCTATATTAGGCATGAGAAATGAAGCAAATTCTTAGGCCCAGTGATCAATGGTAGCAGAGAGGTGAAGCTTGTCCTGGGGTATCTGCTTGCAGACAAAACCCTTCACAGCATTCCTCCATCTGATAAATCACTGTTTCCCTGAGGGTCTCAGCCAGTGCAACTGAACAACAACATCTTACATAAATCACTGGGACATGGCTTTAGCTCTAAGATTCAGAAACAGGAACAGGACCATATAAACACTGACCAAAAGAAGAAGCAAGCACTGATGACCCAGTATGTCTTCATAAGTTGAAATCTTACAAATGAATTTTTCCTGAGGTGGTCAACTTAAAGACCCTACTCCTTTAGGGCAGCTGTGTGATCCCAAATTATTTTTCAGTGGTCAGGAGGTTCCTCTTTCTAACCCAGAAAGTGCATGTGGAAATAAGATTAGCTCCACAGTTTGTTTTGTTTTGCCCTGGGTGTGAGAAGAACTGAGGAAGATAATGAAAACAATAAACTTACCCAGTAAGTATTGAATTACAGGCTCTTTACACAAATGAACTTACTTAACATCAGCATTACTCTATTGAGTAAATATTTTTGTCCTCATTTGAGAAACAGGAAAACTGAACAGAGGTTAGGGCAAAGGCATGCAGGTCACGTGATTGCTAATAACAGTCAAATGTTAGAAAGTGATCACAGGTTAAGATCAGGCCCCAAACCCAAGAATACCCTTGTTGTCCCCAGTGTCTTCCAATAGGAATTATAAGACTTGAGACTGCATTATTATGACCTCAGGCTAATGTACTGCTGCCTTTTGTTTTATAGAAGAGTAGGGAAGGAAGATGAAGTCCACATGAAGATACAGCACAAGCCGCTTGTTGAATGTGGAGAGTATAGTACCTACCCAACACAGTGGAATAAGCAGCTTCCCAATGGTGTGCTGAGTTTTACTGCAATAGCTATCCTTCCTTGTTCCATATGTCCTTGGAAACAAAGGCATACATTTCCAAGCCAGCTGGCCTCAACTAGCAACCTGGCTTAGCACTCATGAAGGAGGAGTTGAAGATACAGCGAGCATAGACATTTCCCATTTATTCTCCCTTCCTTAAATTCACCCTGGCACCCACGGAAATTAGATGGGTTTACTCCTTGAAACTCTCCCAGGAGTAAAGAGCAACGGTTCACAGCTGCTAAAGCAAGGGCAAAGAATTATCATTGGGACTGTGATTTGTTTTATTTGGTTTTTCTTTTTAAACCCAAACAGAGAAATATTAAGTGCAAGCCTAGAAGCAAGTCTGAAGGCTCAGTTTGCACATTCTGGTCAGTCATGGTTTCTTGGTTTCCCAAGACCCTGGTGAAGCCAGCAAAGACCATCTTGGCCTAATTAAATATCTTCCCTGCACAGAAAAAAAAAGTAAAACAGTGAGCCATCCCTTACTTTCATCCACTCCACCATAAATCTGAGCTCAGTCAGACAATCCAGCAAACCCTATTACACAGAGTGGAGAGGCAATTAAATGGTGCCAGTTCTAGCTGGCCTCTAAGAAATCGATGACCCATGGGCCCTCTTAGTAACCACACCAATGCCTCTCTTGAAAATGAGCGGAAAAAATGGTCTAGATACTAAAAAGAGACTCCACTTTGACATTTCCTGGCAGGTCTGCTCTGGCCCAGTGTGTGGTACTTGCTATATTTTGTTCTTTTCTATCTCTGGACACTGGATGGGGCTGGTGGCTACAGAAGCTGCCCAGTGTGCTGTGGACACTCTATTTTCCCCCCATGTGGTCTACTTTGCTCATGATAGTACATCATTTGTCATCCTTTGTACCACATTTTGTAGCCATAAAAAATCATTTCTTAAACATTGCATTTTTCTCTGGATCTTTGCTAAAATGAAGTTCCTTGAGTGGTCCATTTTAATGCCTGAGTGATCATGATTTAGGCAAAGCTACATACATGTGCCAACCCCAAATTCCTAGCCTCCTGGTCCATCAGGCTCAAGCCAATAGGACCATCATATTTGGGGTCATCGACTCATAATACAATCATCCATTCCTTGCAAAAAGATGAGACAAGTAGCTGCCTCTCCTCTTGCTATTGGTTGAATGTTTGTGTTCAAAGTTCAAAGTTAGGTTAAGCCTAACCCTCAACATGATGGTTTGGTGGGGAGGGGTCTTTGAGAGGCAATTAGATCATGAAGATGGAGACTTCAAGAATAAGATTAATGCCTTTATCCAAAAAGACCTCAGAAAGATCCTTTGCACATTTTCTTCCATGTGAGGACCCAGTGAGAAGACAACTATTTATCATAATGTGCCCTCACCAGATATAGAATCTGTAAGAGCCTTGATCTTGGACTTAAAAAATGAGAAATAAATTTTTTGTTGTTGTAACATCCCCAGTTTATGGCTAAGACATCCTTCCGCTTCCAAAACATTATTCTCTCTCTCTTTATACCACCTATCCAAACTACTCCCCTAGTTAATGTCCCCATGCTCCATGTATTAGAGACATCTGCCTCCCAATCAATTTGCAGACATTACTCCATCTCTGGGTTTAAAGTTTCAACCACATTTCCCCTTTCTGAGAAAAGTGACGCTTGTGGTCATTCACCCTTTCCCTGGCAATAATCAAAACCATCCAATGATCCATGGGAAGATTTCCAAAGACTAAGGAGAAAAGTTGTTTCTGGAAGCAAAATAAGATCCTATTAATATGAAGTAGACAACTGTATGCATTCAGGAATCTTTCCTTAAGGTCTAACTTGGCGTCTCTTCAAAGCTGGAAGCTGATAGGATGCTTTCTTTCCTCATCTTTCCAAAACCATTAGGATTATCTGTTCAGCAGTGTATTAACCATTTTTGCTAGTTTTCTTTGGGTTCCACTTTTCATTAAGATCTATCTTTGGAAAGAAGATCATCCTTACATGGTCACAAGATAATTCCAGAGAATAAAATGTGTCATGGTTAAGGCTAGCTTAGGGACTGTGCTGGGAGATGTTAAAGTACAGCACCAAGTTGGAATTACCTGGGTATGGATTTCTGTGTGTGTGTGTGTGTGTGTGTGTGTGTGTTTGTATGAGCATTCATGCATGTAAGAACACAATAATGCCTATGTTATTGCAATGTACAGATACAGTTGAGTCAAATGTCCAAGAGGAAGAGCCAGTTGAGATAATAATAAAAACATATGCCAAGCAACAGGAGTGATCAAAAGATAACTAACTGTTGAGTGTGCATCTGAACACTTGTGTGTATATGCGTGCACCAGAGTGACAGGGTTAATGGACAATGACAAAGACATGTAAGCAAGGTGCTAGCTCTGCTGCTGAGTCCTTCAGCTGGGAGAGTCACCTTACCCTGTAGTAATCGGTGCTGTAGACATCTCTGGACATGCCAAAGTCTCCAATCTTCACCAGCAGGTTGGCTCCAACCAGGCAGTTCCTGGTGGCCAGGTCCCTGTGCACGAAGTGCTGGGAGGCCAAGTACACCATGCCTGAGGCAATCTGACTGGCAATGTGGAGCATTTGAGAGAGCCCCAGCTCGCCCTTGGCTTGGCGTGGCTGCCCATCCACGAGGATCATTGCATCTGGCCCATGGGCCCTGTGAGGAGGTGGGAAGGAAAGAGGGAGCAGAGAGAATTCAGGAGATCAAGGGGAAAGACCTTTTTGGTTCCCAATCCTCTGGAATGCTCCACAGAAATGAGTGAAATTCCCCTTTCCAAACTTCTATACCCTATTTCTACCTACCCCAAAGTACATTAAATGAATATGGGCATGGCTGAAACTCTACAACCAGATTCCCGTCGAAGATGACAGAAGACATACTCACATGGAACTGGGAATAATCCCACTATTTTTAACATCTTACTGCTACAGAGGGGTTCCCCCATGGGATAGATGCTTATTATATAATAATTAATAAAACAACAACTAACTTTTATATAGTCCTTACTATATGCCAAGCACTGTTCTGGTTGTTTTGAATATATTCAATTAATCTGTCTACCCGGACTTTGAAATTAAAAAATTGAGAAATAAAGAAAATGATCAGATCAATCGCCAAAGTTCCAGAGGTCTCAGAATGGCTATCTTGGTAATCAGGAGACAGAATTTAAAGCCAAACCTTGACTTATAAAAGAGCACTTTCAAAGGGAGAAAGGAATTTAAAACACATTCCCAGGTCCCCGCCCACTAGGATTCTGATTGGCTGGGCAGAGCATATTCATTTGCATTTCCCACAATTTCCTGGTGCTGATATAGGCCAGCAGTCTACACCTAGAAACCATAAATAATAGGAAACTCGAGGGTCCTCACTCCTAACCACTCCATCACACTGCTAGCCCTGGGTAACTCAACAACAACAGCAAGGCAAAATGGAGAGACCCTCTGACTCTGCAGCACCTAGAGTACTCCAGCACCCCTTCCATCTCAAATTAGGGCCTGGATTTGTTTTTCTAACATCTCGACTTGTCATATCTGTCATTTTTAGTGCTCACTCTTTTCTCTAGAAAGCCCAATGAGCCATAACCACACCGGGGGCCCTTATTTATGAAGCGGTGGCCCAACGAGCCCTGGTGTACAGCGAGGTCTCAGCCTGTTTTACTGCTTCTCCAGTTTCCATTGAAAGGCACCATTAAATATGAACACTCATTTTATTATCTCCGGTGAGCTCCAACTACCTCACTCCTCAGAAGGAGGGCTGCTGCATCAGCTGGCAAGCCAGGGGGTCACTAGGTAAGCACAACGCCTATCCACCAGGAGGGCACTCTCCAGCCTGCCCCTAAATACCACCAACTTGGAGATATGAGGGCAGGCACGGCCAACCTGGGGTCACGGAGGCTGTGTTTGGGAGAGCAGCAGTAAGTCAGCTCCCAGGAAAGGTTAGTGTGACCTATTGCTAAGAGCTTCTGGCACCAGGGCATTCTGGAGAAGTCTTGACTGAAAGAGCCTAGGGAGACAGATTAATGGCATCTACTGGGAATCTGGTTAGCAGTGGAGGCAAAAGTCCAGATTACATTGCAAAAAAAATTACCCCCAAAACTCTGTTGGGCCTTGACTTTTGGATAGAATCCTCCATGCTGTCTTCAGGAAAGGACTCCAGAGAAAAGACAGAGGCTAAAGAGTATCAGCAAGTCCTTGGAGGAATGTGCTCATTGTCCATGGAGACCAGGAGGTGATCCAGTGCAGAAGCTGCCCCTCACCTTGTGCCTTCCTTTCTACTTCTTTTGATCTGCTTTTACTTTTCTTATTTTCTCCTGCTCCCATTCCGTGCCTTTGCTCTCACTTCTCACTCTTTCCCTCCATTCTGCTCCCTTGTTCTTTCTCTTCCCTTACATTGGGCAGGAGAGGGATACACAGAGACACACAGCCAGGAACACTCTTTAGCCCTGCTGGTGGCACTTCAGACTGAAATACTGGGTCTATGGAGAGGGTGTGGTGGAAAACGGAATATGCCCTCTGACCCCAGAAGAATGAAAGCACAGGGAGAGGGGAACCCTGATTATTGGGAGAGAGTGATTCCTAGATTAGAAACGACCATGATGCGTAGCCATAATAGTAATAGTAGAAATGATAGGAATAATTTTAATAGTAGCAACCATTGGCTGAACACTTAGCTACATGAAAAATCCATCTAGGTATTACATATATATAATCATCACAATACTATGAGTAGTGCAATTTGCTCCACTTTTAATTAACGTGACAAGACGTGAACCCCAGTTTGTTTTATGCTAAGGACTGAGTTCTCCAGGAAAATCCCAGTTTAGGAGGCTTTGGGCATTCTACAGATATTTTTAATTCTCCCAGGGTCTTTTTTTTTTAACCCAGATTATAAAAGAGCCCCAGAGACCCCTTCAGTCCATTACTTGGTACCAACTCTTTGCGTTTCCGCCTCAAAACTATGACACTCTATGGAATGTTGCACTTCAGGGGGATGCTCATCATTTGTCGGTGAGTGGGTTAGAGCCCTGTATACCTTACATTTGAACTCTGGAAGTTTCATTCACAGCCATAAAATTTGATGGAATTCAGCTAGTGGTGAGGCAGAGACCACACCCTAAGTGTCCAGACCTGAGAGTTCAACCTGCTTCTTGGGAAACTGGATTTCACAGTTCCTCACACATGGCTTCCCCCATACCTAGGCACTATGTGTGAGGTGACAGCAATGGAAGGCTGTCACAGGAAAATCTTAGTTCTTTTCTAGTGAGCTGCTGCCTTCCCTAGGGAAAGTGGATTCTTCCCTGCAACTACAGCCTGAACTTCTGACTGGGGTGTCAGTTTCATCCAAAGCTTCTCAAAGTCCAGGTAATCCTTCTCCAGACTTGGAGAAACTCTTCCTAAAAAAATAATTTTATATGTGTGTGTGTGTATGTGTACATATACATATAGAACAATATATATAACAGCACTATCCAATAGAATTTTCAGATAATGGAAATGATCTGCACTGCACTGCTCATTTGGCAGTCACCAGACACATGCGGCTACTGAGCACTAGAAATATGGCCAGTGAGACCAATAACTGAACTTCTAATCTTATTCAACTTTAACTAATGTAAATCCAACTTCAAATAGCCATCTGTGGCTACTGTCATAGACAACACAACTCTAGAATTTACCTGAGGAAAATCTTCCTTTTTTTTTCCAACCATCTCTGTCTTCTGATGAATTTTTAATCTTGCACCCTCCTATTCATCTTCAAGAAGCCTCTGGCAAGAAGGTTTCCAGGAACGCTGCCCAGGATTAGCCTTACTGTGCAAGTGAGATGTGCAAGGCACAAAGGGGACAAGCTATTTGCAGCATTGAGAGAGGGTGGCCCTAGAGTCTTGGAGTTGTAAGTGACCCACTGGACTCTCCTGGGACCCAGTCCAGACTTTTCTTCTCAGCCCACCCTGGAATCAGGAGAAAGAGCATAGGCTTTTTATCTTAGGGACATAGGCCTTAGGCCAGCTGCTAAGGGGATGATGGAGAAGAATGAAAGGGTGCATCTCGTTTCCCAACCTCAGACTTAAGAGTTCAGTGGGGGGAGTGTGACTTCTGACTCTAGAGACAATCTCAGGGGTTGGGGAGTCTTAGAGTCAGTAGAGAGAAAGACAGCAATCCTAGCATACCTGAGGAACTTGTTCAGGTCTCCATGCTTCATGTACTCAAAGACCATGATGAGGGGATCCCCATCACCGCACACCCCATAGAACTTGACAATGTGTTCATGTTGCAGGTTGGTGAGCAGCTCGGCCTCCCTCTGGAAATCCTTTCGGGCAGCCAGGGTGGGGTCCTTCAGGGCCTGCAAATAGTACAGCAGCCTTTAGCAACCAGAGGCAGAGAGCTTTTCCCATGGAGAAACCTGGCACCACACATTGATGGGTTCCCAATAAATGAGATTTTAAATGGAATTTAAAAATGAGGATGCTAAGTCACTCTGTAAAGCACAACCCCACCACATTCAGCATTTTGATCCACATAAAAAAGAGAAACTCACTTTCTGACATCCACATCCCATGTGCTGGCCAGTGATTTTTAAACTGTGTTCAACTCAGAGTCCCTTGGAGTCCTCAGAGGTGAGTGTGAATGACAAGGGAACACGGATGTGAAATGGAAAGCCTGAGAAAGCCCCTGTTCCTAAGGTTTTCTTTAAAGAAATGGTCTCCCTGCTAACACAAACAGTGCAAAAACCACTGCCCCAGTTGCTTTAGCCTTGTAAACCAACACACCCAAAGCCTGCCAGAAATCAGGCAGATGATCTAATAGTTTCCTTGTCTGTTTGAATCCTTAGTTTTCAATGGTGATGGAGTTCTCTATTTGCCGAGGAGAGTAAGCACTTTGGCTTCTAAAAGACACTGAGTTCTCCTACCAACAGTTTGGAGCAAGCCCTGAGGGGTAAGTAGGGTGACAGCCATGGAATGGTAATTAACAGACAGCAGCTTTAGAAGCATCCAGGATCAAGTAGAGAATCACAAAGTCCTAGTACAGGATGAGAAGGTGGACATCTGGTGGCCACCAAGATGCTACAACTCAGCCCTGTGGGGGAGGCAGACCCAGGTAAGAGGGGCAAGTACAGACCAAGCCCTGTCCTGGTCTAGGAAGAGACCCAGGGTGTGAGTTCCCAATGTTGATTTTTTAAGCACCAACAGGAGACCATGTGACCAAAGCTGAAGACTTCAAGTGTATCAGAGGAACCATGGACAGGGCACCACCACCGGGATGAGCAATGCTGGTCAGGATGGCTAAGGCCTGAGCAGGGGACGGTCCCTCTCCCAGAGGAGCAGCCTGCACAGGCACACTTGCACATTTCCCCATCCTCCCCATAAGGTCAGAGGGCAAATGAGGCCAAACATCCACTTCCTTTAACTGACGATGTATGGTGTAAGTATTGGGTGTCTTCCAAAAGCTCATGAGTGAGACAATGCAAGAGGGTTCAGAGGAGAAATGTTTGGGTTGTGAGAGTCTTAACCCAATCAGTGAATTAATCCCCTCATAGGGATTAACTGAGTGGTAACTGAAGGTGGGGAGGCTGTGCCTAGAAGAGGTGGGTTCCTAGGGATGTGCCTTTAGGGTATGTATTCCGTTTCTGGCCAATGAAGTCTCTCTGCTTTCTGGTCATGATAGGAGCTGCTCCCTCCAACACACTCTTCCACCATGATGTTCTGCTTCTCCTCGTGCCCTGAGAAAGGGAGCCATCTGTCTATGGATTGAGACCTCTGAAACCAGAGACCGCAAGTAAACTTGCCTCCTCCACAATTGTTCTGATCAGATCTGTTAGTCACAGCAGCAGCAAAAATGCTAATACAGACAGTTTAGTGACCTCGATAGACACAACAAGACACAATGAGGAAATGAGTGTGGAATTTCCTCACTTTCAGGTTAGTGAACGTTGAGACAGACTAGAGACTGCTTTGCATGCTCTCTGGCAGGCATCTGGCCTGTTCTGGTTATTCAGGCACTTTGACCTCCCCAGTAGATTATGCTAGCCCCCCAGCCAGAGACCTTTCTCCTACCCTGTAGCCCATTAGTTGAACTATACCAGCTGCTTTACATTCTAGCACTATAGTAGTATGAATCTTTTTTTTTTTAATTCATATCTATGTATCTACAGGTAGGCCCATCCAACCTCTCAGTCATTGGCACATATCAGAGATGATGACTGTTATCATGAAAACCTACTACCATCTGCTTATTTGTTCATTTGCAGAAACTGAGGCTAAGCCTGTCTAGGAACCAGCCACATGCAAACATCTTACACAACAGAAACTTAAAATGAACACAAGTCACCCACTGGTGAGCTCCATGGTGCCCCACTAGTCAGTAGCAATACTTCCAGGGCCATCAAAGTGGGTGTGGTCTCTTGTCCAGAGATCAAACCCCATCCCAACTTCAATCAACAGCACCTTGCATCTTTTTTAAAGTCTGAAAGGTTTCTGCAAAAGAATATTTAATTAAACGGTACCACTGCTGACAAAAAAAAAATGTTAAAAGTTATCTGGCTTCACTTGCCCATTTTACAGGTAAGAAAGCTGAGGCCCAGAACAGGGAAGGGGTTCGCCAAAGATCATGAAACCAACAGCTTGGATCTGGAGCCCAGGGTATTTTCCTACCTAGCGCATCTGCTTAAATCAGCTGATCAGATAAATTAGGCACTAAACAGGTCCCCCAGGGAATGAAGGGCCCAGGAGTGAAAAGATGTGTTATCATTGGGGAGAGGATAGAAAAAAGCAGAAGGTATGGATGCCTGCAGAGTGGCTTCACCCAGTGAGGTACAGGCCTATAGGGTAGACCAAGGAGAGAAACAAAGTGTGAGGTTCATTCTGCCCACCCATGGTTGATTTTTATCAGAACTAACTCTATGCACTTTCCCTTCTAGCGTTCGCTGCTTGCTTTGAGTGGTTACTTATGAATAAAGGATGAGGCTTCAAGGCCCACCACAAGCAGAACAAAGACATTTGCAAGCCAGAGAGTCATGGTGCAGCTCCGGGTTGCAGCCCAGAGCTGCATGAGTTGGGGCATGGACACAGGATGACTAAGAGTGATTTATTTATTTTCATGAAGAAGAAGTCAAAAAAAAAAAAAAAAGGAGCCCAGCATGGGTGGGATGGGAGAATATAAAGATTTATGTGAACGCTGGATTTATGAGAGGGAAAAATAGATCAAATTTGGGGCCAGCCAAATGGCCTCTCTCCATCTCTTTAAATCATTCTCTCCCACAGTCTGGATGTCAATGGCAGCCATGGGATATTTCCGTTCTCAGCTCTCCAGCAGTACCAGCCAGTGTCCCCCAGGCTGGCACCACACACTGCATGGCAGATGAGTTCCTCCTCGGAGAGATGGAGCACAAAGCAACAGCTGTCTCTTCCAGTCTTCCGTGCCCTTTTCTCTGCCTTCACATGGGGTTTTCCAGCAAAATGGGTCACTGGTCAGTGGCAAGGGAGAGAACTGGTGTTTATCATCACCATCAACCATTGATGCAGTGAGAGAGTCTTGCCAAGAGGGTCTTGAAGCCAGGGAGGCTCCGGCGAGGTCCTTTGAGCAATATCCAAAAGCAAAGAGAAGAACTGGAGTTTGCCTTCTTTATCTCCTTCTTTTTCCTCCAAAGTTTGGGGACATTTCTCTTTCTGCTCTTTCCCTCCATGTGCATCAGATCTCAGGAGCATGTGCTGCCCAGGGGAGGGTTTCAGCTGGGCTGCTCAGCAGGATGGGAGGCAGCAGGCTAGGGGATCAGAGCCCTGGCTGCTCAGTAGCTCCCAGCACCTTCAGAGCCACTTGAAATCTTCATCTTGTCCAGCCTAAGGGATCTGCTGCCTTCCATTTTTCTTTTATTTTGTTGGGAGAAGCTATTTGTATGGATACTCGGTTTCAGATATCATTAATGTCCTGAAACCCATTTTATTATACACAGAGGGTTTTTGTAAACATTCAACCCCTCACTGCCCACCCCCCACCCCCGTGTCTGTCTCTCTCTCTCTCTCTCTCTCTCTCTCTCTCTCTCTCTCTCTCTCTCCCCCTTTTAACTATGATAATTACTTTTCTTTTAGTTCCTCAAAAGCCATTGTCTTGTCCCCTTGGTAAGATTTGCACATTTACCAGGGAGGAGGATTGGTAGTTACCATATTTACCTATTTAAGCATTCCTCTCTCATCTCTTCTGGCTTAAAACTGGCCATTGGCTTCCCATTGGTTTTAGGATAAAATCCAAACTCCGTAACATAGTCTTGGACTCTAAATGTCTGGCCTCCTCATTTCTCTCCACCCCTCATTCATTACACTTCAATATCACTGGCTTTTCTCTATATTTACACTTTATGTTTTAATGTGCCTCAGGTCCTTTGCAATTGCTATTCTTTTGTTGGGAAAAATTCATAAGTATGCTATATCTTTATGACTGGCCATATTAGCCAGCACCACCCATAACCTCTGCAGAACATATTGACTGGTGCCCATGAGCCCCTTAATGCTCACTGATAATTGAATACTCAGAAAGGTACTTCTCTGCCAGAGAGGAGTTTACCAAGAGTTGGCTATGATTGCCACCAAATTCATCCATGATAGTTAAACCTGTTAAAATAATCATGTGATACAATGAAGAAACCACTTAAATAGGAGTGCAGAGTGGGAAGTTTTTATGGAAGCTAGGGTGAATGCTTTGGAAAGACCTGAAAAAGGTCACCGAGTCAAAGCATTCTTAGGAGGGGAGGGGAAACCTGCTAGATTTTTTTAGAAAATAATACAGATCTGAGATTCTGCCCTCAGCTTGTTTTACAAATATTTTATATGACTGTTTCAATTTAAAGCAACCAACACTAGAAATCATGAACACCCCAAACAAAAACAAAATAACCCTCCGAACTAAAAGGGACCCAAAAGCTGAAGTTCAGACATATTGAAAGAAACATAATACTAAATCCAAATGACTAAAATTGTCAATAACCAGAACATGAATTTCCTGCAGAGCAGGCTCATAAAGCTTTTTAAACAAGTAAATGCTCCAAGAGAATGAAAAAAATAATTATTTTTCAGTAAGAAAGCATGCAGTCAGAACAGGGATATAAAAAATTAACAAAATATTAAGGGCCAATTAGATGTCTTAGAAATAAACTACGTGGTCATTAAGGTTAAAACAAAACCCTCCACAGACAGGAAAAACTCTAGACCAGAAAAAACCACAAGAAGTGTTTATGAATCTGAAGAGTACTGAGGTTCACTCAGGACAGGACACAGAATGACAGAGAAAGAAAATAAGAAAAGCAGAAAGACCCCATTCACCATCTGCAAGGAAGGGGTTTTTCTGGGTTTGAATGCCCTGTAAGAGCTTGCTTGCCAAATGACTATTTAAAAGTGGCATAACCAACTTCAAAACTCTGTGGATCCCATGACACATAGACCCCAACTTAGGATGCTTCAGCTTAAAATGTTTTGACTTCACACTGGTTGAAGGGATATGAATTCAGTAGACGCCTTCCTTTGTATTTTGATCATTTCCCTGGCTAGCAAACGGGGTCCAATCTCTCATGGTGCTGGGCAGCAGCAGCAAACCACAGCTCCCAGGCAGCCACAGAATCACCAGGGCAAACGGTACTCTTCAGGGTACTATGTGGCTAAGCTTGGATGTTCAGTGGGTTCAGTGAATTCAATTTGACTTATGATCTTTTCAACCTTACTTATCAGTTTATCGGAGCGCAGCTCCATCATAAGCTGAGAAGCATCTGTATTTTAACATCACACACGCACCACAAGTACAGGCAAATTGTGTCTGTCTTATCCTGCTCTCCATTTCTTTCATAGGTACTCATCTTGGCTTCCCAGCAGGCTGCAAACACCTTAAAAATATTTGTTTCCATCAGAGCAACTGCTGGAGGAAAAAAAAAAAAAACTTGCCCTTTGATTTAAAACCATGATTTTGAACAAACCTAATCTTGGGTTATACTTGCAAGTGTTTTCCAGAAGTGCAAAATTACCCTATATCAAGACGGGAACAAACTCAAGAGGAAGGGGCCTGCAAATAGGAGGAAGATCTAAAAAGAACAGAGAGCAGGAAAGGCCAATTCTCAGGGGCACTCTGGAGGAGATAGGCATGTCCTTCAGGGCTGCTCGCTGGGCGGATCCACTAGGTGGCCAATGGAGTAAAATTCCAGAGTGCTTATGTTCGTGAGGATCCCAGACCCAAGGAGAGAAGGAAACCCCTTTAAAAGGATGGAAGCAGCGGGGCTGTGGCTGGGGCTCAGTGGCAGAGCGCTTGCCTAGCATGTGTGAGGCACTAGGTTCAATCCTTAGCACCACGTAAAAATAAACAAATAAAATAAAGGCATGCTGTCCATACACAACTACCCCCACTCCATTTTTTTTTTTTAAAGATGCAGACAGAAACACATTATTTGCATTACCTAGTCTGGGTGCTGCCCCTTGATGCCACACTACTCAGGGGAAACTTTCTCAGGGTTCTGGCCATCATTTTATTACCTGCTCAAAGTGCAAAACTGTTCAGTTCATGTACCAGTCAGTCCCCACATGGATGCATGACCACCCAGTGGATTAGTGTCATTCTGGACATTAAAAGTGCAAGGACAGTGCCAATTCTACATTTAGGGACATAATTAGAAACCTTTCCATATCCCTGGTCCAAGCTGCTGAAAGATACACCAGCTCATCTGACCATCTCATGTCAATGCAGACATACAGAGCAAGTTTATACACAGGATGTATAGTAATAATAAGCATCAGCCTTTTATGAGGCAAAACTCTCATTCTTTCTTTCTTCCTTTTTTTCTAGAATACAGAATAGAGGTCAGCAATCTACTTCTGTTTTGTTAAAAGAATTATTGGAAAGCATTCACTCTTCTTGATTAAAGTATTATTTGTTTGTTTATTTGTTTTGGTACTAAGCATTGGTCTAGAGAGAGGCTCCTCCATGGAGTAAGGGTGGAGGAGGGTAGTGGTAGTAGCCAAGCCTCTTCTCCATACCAGGCAGCTCCAACTGCATATCTGCCCAGTGTCTCAGCAGCACAAAGCCCTGTGGTTAATGGACCCACCCAGCAGCTTCCAGGAGCAAGTTACCCACAGTCACCTGACCCTTGGAGTCTAAACATGGACCCCGTGGCAGGAATTTAAGAATTCCTGGGCTGGGGTTGTGGCTCCGTGGTAGAGTGCTTGCTAGCATGTGTGAGGCACTGGGTTCGATCCCCTGCACCACATAAAAATAAACAATAACAAAAAAATAAAGGTATTGTGTCCATATACAACTAAAATATATATATAAAGAATTCCTGTATACCTGACTGCCCCACTCCTGCTATCTGATACCCTTGAGCAATGGCTCCCCAGGCCTCCTTGAGCAGCCCACCCTTCATCCAGCTTTGCTCTTGAAAAGGTTGAGTGACTTTCCATGTACAGATGATTCATCCTACAGAGCCACTGGGGCAGGAGATCCAGGACCTGCAGAACTAACTCAGCACCTTCCATCAGCATAACTTGTTCTCCAGGCAAAGCCCCCTTTGAATTCCACAGCCTTTGACCTCAGAAGCCAAAGGAAGTTGGTTTATGTCCAATGGAAAAGTCACTGCCCCTGTCACACGTTCCCTGAATACATCTGAGAATCTAGCACCATCTTCTCTGGTGGAGAATGGGTGAGCCTCTTCCTCTGCCTCCCTGGGCCTCAGCCAGCCCTCTCCCTGGTGCCCACATGCTCCAGAATTTACCTTCACTGCCACCAGCATCTTGTCCTTGGTTGGGCTGAGGTTGTAGCACTCAGCCAGGAAGACCTTCCCAAAGGCTCCCTCGCCCAGTTCTCGCTTCAACACTATGTCCCTTCGCTTGATGTGCTGCACATCTGCAGAGGGGAACAGAGAGGAGGCAGAAAAGTCAGTCTTTGGTGTTTGTCCAGACAACAAGGGATATGGGGCGCTTCCAAGTCCACAGTCGGGAAAAAACAAACTCTAGCACCCTGATTAAAGCATGGAAACTGGCTTTGCTTTGGAGTTGCAGAGTGTGACTCCAAATTAAATCTCAGCTCTGTCCCTGACTAGCCACTATCCTCTCTAAACAGTGCTTTTTCAGTGGAAAACCGCCCACAGTAGTTAGTGCCCAGGAATCTGGTGTTACTTAGCAATAGTTGTTGGAGAGGGGATACAGCAGTCTCTAGTTATCCTGCACGTGGTTCCCCGGGATCTTGTTAAAATGCAGATTCTGATTCAGTAGGTCTAGAAGTCCAACATTCCAGTTGATGGCAAAGTACTTTCAGTAGGGTTCAGAATCACATTTGAATCCTAGTTCCATCCCCTTGCAGGTTTTTCTGAGTTGGGAAAAGTTATTTAATCACAGAGCCTCAATTTCCTCATCTGCAATATGAGATTAACAACAAAGGATGAGAATCCATATAAAGAGCTTGGCCCAAAGCCTGGGACAAACTAAATTGTATATATGTGTGCATATACACATGTGTCCGCGTGCACACACACACACACCCCCATATACTGGTTCTTTTTGTAACAATGGCCACAGTGACCCCAGCATAACAGCGCCTGGGTCATGATAGAAACTACTCATGGACAGCTAAAACCATTTCAAAAAAACCTTCCGTTGGCCCATCCTTCTCCTCCGAGAGAAAGGACACTGAAATTACAAGTGGCCAATTCAGAGACAGCCCCAGAGTGAGGGCCTGTGCAGAGAGAGGGGTTGCCATTCCCTCTGCTAATTTAGCCACCTAATTTTAATTAGGTTCTCCTGTCTGCCAGGAGAAAGCAGAGCTGTGACCTCAGCCCTCCCACCTCTTTGGAAAGAATGCTACCAAGGAATTGTACAAGCAGTGGACTGGCGCTGAAAGGAGCCAGCTCGAGATTACTCACTGACCTTTACATTAATTGTTCAACAGGCAGAAGCCCATTAAATACCTGTATTAACATTATGAAGAGCATCGCAGAGCCAGGAAAGAGGATTGTCTCCAATGACCTTGTCGAAAATAAAAGCTGAAGGGGGAGGACCTTGGCAGACTGTCCTCAGAAGTGAGGAGCCTGTGACAGGGACGGAGGGACATGGCTAGAAGGCTTCGGTTAGTGTCTTGGTGTGTATGGGGATTTCTTTCAGAATAGACTACACAAAACATTGTTTTTCCCTATTAAGGCTCTTGATATCTCACAGTATCCTAGACGGTCCGCCTTGTGAGGATTTGTGGGAGGAAACCATGGCCCTGATTTCTAAAGCGGCTGCCCCACCCTGCCAAGCTATGTCTCAGCCTTTACAAGTAGGGAATTAAAAATCAGTTGCCTTCTTCACTCTCTCAGCCTCTGCTTCCCAGTCTCTGAGAAGGGTATTTGGAGGCCTTGAGGGGAAAGCTAAAGAGTTCCCCACTAAGAGAAAATTGGAGGTCAGGACCTCTCTTGGGAGGCCATCTGCTCATTGCTGCCTAATGATTCCCAGGTGATTAACAATGACGCACAGGTTCCTGCAAGGGGAATGGAGATGGGGCTGGTAAAGGCAGCTCTTCAGTGCCAAGCCCCAGCCTCTAAATGCTCAGGAATTGGTAAGGCCTGGGGAGCTAGAGGCACTTGATTTAAGATCTGGAACCTCCAAAGCTAGTTATTTTACAGAACACCTTGGATTTCATATTTCTCATCTGTAAAATGGGTTTGGGGGATAATACAAGTTCTTCCTCGCTATTCCCTACGAAAGTCTGTAAATGTTTAATTCGTCCAAAATGTAGGTGTTGTAAAACAGTATTTGGATCACGCTGTTATCAATTTCATAGGAAAATGAAGGCCAAGTCTGGTTCTCACCTGGTGGCTGAGGTGGGCTTGGAATCCAGAGCATAATAAGGACATGAGAGAACAGTCATGTCACTTAGGGAAGAACACCTTCTCTGGCCCAGACCCCACTCTCCCTCTGCATTACAATAGAAGAATGCTTCTCAAACTGGAACCTGCACCAGACTCGCCTAGAGAGTTTGTTTAAACAGATTGCTGGGCTTCTCTCCTCCAAGGTCCCAACTGAGCAGGTCCAAGTCAGGGCCTGAGAATATACATTTCTAAGTTGTTGATACCACTGGAACAGAACTGTTGGAACAGGACATTTTTGTAAGGTGAGGGAATTAGCCAGTTGGAAAAAAAAATCTGTTCACCTTGACTGCTTGAATTTAACCAGTCCCATGCCTAAAAGACATTAAGTTATGCCCCACCTCCAGAAGACCAGGAAGCCCTCCCAGACTCTGGACTTACCTCGTCTTCTCCTCCCCTCCCTAGCTGTGTAGACTAGGCTGAGCCATCTCCTCCCAGAGCCTGAACTGCCCATCAGTGCAATAGAAATCATGCCTCTCTTGTGTTCTAGAAATGTCTCCAGAAAGGCAAAAGCAACATAATGCATTTTTCTGGGTGCCTAAGTCCAACTCTGAGCTGGAGGTCCACACTAGTTTCATCAGGGGTTCTCGTTCTCAGCTACAATGAGTGTAAAATGAGAATAGAGGCGCTTTACCAAGAGCAGGACTCTGGTTTTCATCTGCAGTACCTGGGTCACATCAAAGAACCCTGCCTCCTCCCCTCCCTCCCTGCACAGCAAGATTCACAGGCCCTGAAAGATTCAGCCAAGCCAAGTGGTAGCCGCATAGAGGGAGTGATTTCCCAACCCTTCCTCAACATCCAGAGAATTGAGAGCCTGGCAACAGCTGCAAACCCCCTGCTGTTGGAGGCAGAGGCTCAGACAGCTGTGGACCTTGAACATAGCAGGAGGCAGGTGACCACATTTTGGGAAACTTGTCTGCTCTCTGTAAGCACATGAAAAAGGCTGGGGTGGAAGCCTACCCTGGGCCAAAGTATCTTCCCCCAATATGTAAATGAATCATTCTCAGGGGCTCAGTACAAAATAGTGTTGGTTCATTCCAGTTGTCTTCCAAGTATAGGGACTTTGACTTTGAAATCAATACCTGGGCTTGGCCATGGGTGGGATGGTGAGAGCTGGGAAAGGGTAGACAAAGGAAGAGAAAGAAAAACAGATTCCATTTCACCTTAAATCCTCCTCCAGGAGAGAACTTCTTCCAGGTCATGGGGAGAAGAGGCTCCACGAGGTAACCAGGGAGATTTGGCAAAGAAAAGCTGGATTGGGGCCAAATGCACAGGGCAAATCACTTGCACATGAAAAAGCCCATGTACCAATGAGATTCTAGACTCCAAAACACCAGGGCACTAACTGCTTTCCTGGAACCCACCAAGGAAGAAGCAGGGCCAAGGGATTGATGGGCACCAAATCGTGCAATGTGCTCAAGGCTGGTTCTCATAATGATCTTGAGAGACAGTGTTATAGGACCCCTTTCACAGATGAGAAAATGAGGGTAGGATTTAACCTTCCAAATTCACAAAGGTAAAAACTGACCAAGGACTCTCTCTTCTTTCTATGACCAGTTATTTCCTTTACATTAGGCTGCTTCTACTCTGTCCTTCCTGACTTTATAGCCACTCAATTAGACCTATCCACAGATGCCCAAAATTCTACCTTCCACCATCTTCCACTCCTAACCCGCTTTCTCTGACCCGGTTCATCTTGGGACTGTATTACAGCATCTTCCCAAGGGAAAGGGCAGCCACTCCCCCCCACCCCCCGCCCCCGGAGGCCACTCACAGCACATGAGGCTCTGGGGAGAAGGGAATGGATGCTCTGCCAGGCTCTAGGGAACGGCTGGAGTGAACCACTTCGTTTCTGACGTCCACACATCTATTTGGGTTCCTGCCACACTTATTTTTAGCTCACACCGTGCTTCTCAGAGCTGCCTCTGGTGAAGCCATCTGACCCTCATGCCGAAAAGTGATGGATTTTCCTGGGAGGAGAGGGCATCAATCTCTTTTTACTGCCTGGTTGGCTGGCCCAGCAAGTCTGGGTCACAAGGCTCAGACGTCGGGATGCAGGAAGGGGAGGAGGAGAGAGGGGAGACACAGCCCAGGCCGTGGGAAGACCTCCCAATCTCCACTAAGGAAGGCGCTGTTGGAGAGAATAAGGAGTTGGTGTATAATGGGAAGGGATCTTTAAGAAATGAAAAGGGTTCCTGAGACCTTTTGCCCTGGCTCTTCCTGAATTCCTTTTTGCAAGAGAGCCACTAACTGAGTTCCACCAAAGGAAGCCACCTGTAGATCCTCTCCTTCCCACAGGACCACTGGTTCATCGGACACAAATACAGTGTGAGGATTTCTGCATTGTGGTTTCAGCTCCAAGAATTCTTCCTCTGTAGTGGGGACCAAGATAACTATTCCATATGTGTGGGATTCACTTCTGGGAGGTCTTCCAGACCTTGCAGCAAGCTTGACCTAAAGCAAAAGCTCTTATCCTGCAAGTCACTGGCACCTCTGTACAGAAGACCACAGAACCCTAGGAGGCTAGTGGGCAGACAAGGGTTGTACCTCACCCTGCCTGTGCTCACTGGGGCTGCCAGGAGGCTGCATCCTGGGTTTGGGGGCTGAGGGAGACTTTCCTACAGCATCTGCTGAGACATGCATAGGTACCCTGGATAGTTTGTGTGGTACAGCTGGATACAGAGGTGACTACTGTCAATTGCATCTCTGTTCTGGGGGAAAGGGAGGCAGGAAAGATAGTCGTAAACTGCTCAGCCTTGCTGACCATGGATGAAAGGGAACAAAACCCCACATAATATGGAACTGCTGAAAGAGTGAGGATTTGGAGAGTGGGAAGACCAGGTCTGTATTGAAATCCTGATCTTGTCTCTTACTCTTTGTGTCCTACGCTCTCCAAGCCTCTAGTTCCTTATCTGTAAAACGGAAACACAGATATTGATTTAGCAGCACTGCACCTTTAAGAGGGCTGATTTAAAGCTTTTAGATAACAGGGATGATCAGA